GAACTTTAAAACAATTTTTAAGTGTCAGTGATCAAGGAAGTAGCATTAATGACAACAGAGAATGTAAGCTATGTACAGAGCAAGACAATGTAGTGGTTGGTGATCAAAGTAAAGAAGATGATAGAAAAGACTGTTTTCTTTCCGCTGAGACCTATGTGAGTGGAAACAATAATCCTGATCAGCAGATTGTTAGTGGAGAGAGACTGAAAATAGTGGGAGAAACAAATAAGTTATCTGAACTGGATGAAGTATGTGAAAACAAAGGAAAAAAAAGTTCAAGAAAAGTACGGAGTGATCCAAATTTAGATAGAGAATTGTTGGGAAATGCACAGGAATTAAATACACCATCAGAAATGATTTCTAGAGGAGGGAGTTATTTTCCAGAACATAGATTAGATAAAAAACTTTTGAGTCAGGAAGAGACAGTAAGTGAGAAGAAAATATCACAGGGTAAAATTTATGGTTTGGACAACATAAATATAAAAAGGAAGAAATTGAGTGGAGAGAATGAGTTAGCACAGGATGAAAAATACAAAGATTTATGGCTAGTTGCAGAAATGGAAAGTAAAGATAAAGATCAAAGCACCAACATACCTGGAAAAAACACTGACGTCCAAAAAACATTCTATGAAAACACAGTAAGCAAAATCTCCCTTGAAAAAAGAGAGAAGCCAAAGAAAAAAGGCAGTGGTAATGAAGATAAATGGAGCCCAACTATAATTAAGGTACCAGAGTTTTCATGCGATGCAAATGGCATAAATAGGCAAAATTAAATTAAGAATGATTCTAAACCAACCTAAATCAACCGTTGAATCTCAGATATGTCCAGATCAAGTTGATTGAACATAACTTAAATAATCAGTATTCTAATGATATATTAATTATTCTGCATGTAAGATGATTTTTGTTTCAGTTTTCATAAATTTATCTATATGTTCATTTGGTATGACTATTTAATTGCCATCCTTTTCTCCACCCAGCTGATGCTCAGCCTTTATCTTAACAGAAGTAATAGAACCTAACAGGATTTAGATCGTGCCCGTATACTTTTGTCTGTTTCAAGCATAATACATTAGATTTTATGCCTGTGAGAGCATGTAAGGAGATTGGATAAAAAAAATCAATGTTTTGTGTTGGCTGGGATTTGTTCAAAATTGTCCATGTGACAGATCAGGGGAAATACAGAGTGAAACTGAAAAAGCTGCCTTTGCATTAGCCTTTTAGAAAATACATTTCATATAACATGTAAAAAAATAAAATAAAATCAGGTAATCTGGTAAATTTGAGCTAAGACAACATTTTGTTTATTTGAAGATGTTGCTGTAATTCCCTTTCATGCCATATTTGTGTGATCATAGGAATTAGGTTATGTTCTCACCTCATGTTAGCTCATGCTTGGTACCTAATACCCTGATAGTGCTAATGAAGGTGAGATTTGTATGGTTTCAACTGTATTCTTACTGGTGAATGTACATCTGCTTATTAGAGCTTACCTTCACCTGTCAGCATACGAAGTCTACCATCTCTCTGATTTTCATGATTTTAAATACTATGTCTGTGTTCTAACTGTGTCTGTACTGCAGAGCAGCTGTGCTCCTAGTCCCCTGGCAGAGACAGTGAAGGTGTTGAGGCTATGGAGCACACTACAGGACATAGATTTATTGGAGAATAATTCCCTTTCTGGTCATGATGCATCTCGATTCTGTCTCTAAATGCTGTTTCTTTCCTTGGAGGCGATTTCCAGATTTCTCATGTGTTATTTTTGCTTCTGAGCGTAAGAAGCTTCTTCCATCTCACACTGAACTGATCCAAAAGTGGTAGTCTCTCCTTGGGAATTCTTGCACATGGTGTTTGTCTCACTGTTTACCTATTTGGAGAAAAAAACGTATGCAAGATTCTGCCGACTGCTAAGAGGCATCAGATTGAAGTGAGTGGCTTTAGGACTTCTTTGTTATGTGGATGTCTTTAAGAAGGGTTTCGTATTTGGCTAATGGTAACTTCCTGAACGTTACTGTATCAAGAGAAGGTGATGGTGGTGGGAACTGCTCGTCCTACCTTCTGGACATACCATTTATATAAGAGTAAGTATCATCCATTCTGCTTTTCAAAGAGCCTAGTGTTTCATATACCATATTTCAAAAGCTATGTTATAACTTAATTTATTTTTCTACAGATTTTAAGGAATAAGGAGGCATCAGTGCGTGAGGCATATTCAGATCTAATGGCACAGAAAAATAGCACAACTGATGAGAACAGAAGACTCATGGGAAAGGTAAAAGCACTTGAGGAGATGCTGGAGAATGTGAAGAAACAAAAAATCCAAGTGGAACAGGAGCTCCCTAAACTAAGGGAAGCTGCAGAAAATGAACGGAAGAAGCAGCGAAAGGAGATGGAAGAGATCTGTCTTCAAAAGACCAAGGCTGAGGAAGAAGCAAAACAGTGTCGTATAGATCTAGAGAACGTTGAGAAAGAGAAAGCAGATGCAAAGCAGGAGTTGGAGCATGTAAGGCAGCTCATTTTTCAGGCAGAGACACAAAGAAATATATTGGAAGAAAATCTTCGAGCTTTTCGAAATCAAATAGAAGAAAGTACCTTTACCAGAAGAAATCTTGAAGAACATCTAAGAAGAAAAGATACTAATCTTCATGATTTAGAGCAGCAAAAAAAAACCCTCATGCAGGAGCTGAAGCAGAAAACAGAAGGAGAAGAGAAACTTATGAAACTGATAAAGCAAATGGAGGAAGATCTTGAGTTTAAAGGGTATCTATCAGAAATAAAGCTGCAAGAAAAAGAGAAGACTGAAACCAGAAGGAAAGTTGTTGAAGGCAGGTACACTGTGACTAGAGAAACTTCCCTGCCAACTTACACAGCTGGGCAAGGCAGCCAGTGTAGGATTGATTCTGAAATTACAAGTTTCCAGAAGAAACAAGAAGCAAAAAAAGTAGAAGAGCTTAAGCAGAAGGTGGATGAGCTAATCCTTGCTAACAAAAAAGCTGATAAAACCATAAAAGACCTCAAATATGAAATAAATGAAATTGAGCTTCAGAAATCATCAACAGAAGAAAAGTCTCGTTTATTAAAAGAAAAATTAGACGAAGCCAATAGTGAACTTAAATGCCTAAAAATTAAATTGGAGGAAAAAGACCAAGTAGAACAAAGCTATCTGCAACAGCTGAAAGAACTTGACAAGCAACTACATAGAACCACAAGTAAAGCTGAAGAGGTGATGCAAGAAGCTATAGATCTTAAGCAAATTAAGATGAACTATCAGGAGGAACTGAAATCTGTTCAGCAGGAAAAGATACAGCTAAAAAGAGAAGTAGAGGAATTAACTAGATCACAAGCAAAAACTGAAATCACTATCAAACATTTAAATTCACAAATCTGTTCTCTTCAAAAAGAGACACTGGAAGCTGAACACAGAATGCAGTCATGCAAAGGAGAAGCAAATTATCTTCAAGACCAGTATAAGAAAATTCAGGAACAATTGCTTCATAAAACAAGAAGAGAAGAAGAAAACCTGCAGGAAATTCAGATGCTGAAGAATGAATTAACCAAAAGCAATCAGATGTCAGAAACATTGAAACGAAAGATAGAGGATCTTAATAAATGGAATACTGAAACAAAACTACGGATGAAGCAAATTCAGTCCGAGTCGGAGAAGATGACTTTGGAAAAACAAAGTATTCAGAGGAAAAATGATGCATTAAAAACCCTAGCAGATGGTTTCAAAGAGCAACTGCGTACAACAAATGAACAACTGCACAAACAAACAATAATGGAGCAAGAATTCATATGTAAAATCAAAAGCCTAGAAGATGATCTTGCTAAAACAAAAGACTTAGTTAATGAATATAAACAAAAATTTGATAAACAAAATGCTTCCGCCCTAACCACTGACCTGGAGATTAAAAATCTAAATGCCCAGGTGTGTGCTCTAACTACAGAAAAGAGAGTGAATGAGCAGAAAATACAGCTGCAAGAAGTTCATATACAAGAGCTAAGTAGTAAATTAAAAAAATTACAGGATGAACTGCATCAGAAGACTCTGGATGAACAAATGGCACGCAAGAAAATGATTCTGTTTCAGGAAGAATCAATCAAATTTAAGCACTCAGCTGAGGAATTTAGGAAAAAAGTAGAAAAATTACTGGAATCTCATAGCATCACAGAAAAGGACATTTCTGGCATAAAATTAGAGTGTGTTGCTCTTCAACAGGAAAAACATTTGGCTGAGGAAAGCATCATGCTGTACAAGAGACAGATTGAAGATCTGCAAGAAAGACTTAAAAAATGTCAAGAACAACTGCAACAAGGAAAGCATGCTGAAATGGACTATCATCAGAAGTGCAGGAAGCTTGAGGAAGAGTTGGAAGTGCAGAAACACCTGGTTGAGGATGTGAAACAGAAGATGGACCTGCAGGTCAAGGAAAGTGAACATAGGTTTCTTTTGTTTCAGAATGAAGTTCAACAGAATAATAAAATCAAAGATTGTGGATTTAAAGTGAGCTGTGAGAGGAGAGGAAATGAATTGAATTACCTGAATGACACCTTATCTAGAGAATTTGAACAGCATCCTTCACATGTAAGACCTTGTTCGCCTTTGTTAAGGCAGAAACAAGAGAGACCAAGTTTTAAATCTGATCAGATAGAAGAAAATACGCTGTATGTGAGTGCTGATGATACAATACCAAGGGAAGTGCAGTTCCAGATGTCAAGAATAAATCAATCACTAGAAGATGCAAGACCACAATCTTTTACAGAGTTTGTTTCTCAAACAAGTACACAGTTCCAGATAACCTTTGATAAATCAAGTGAAATCACTGGAATATCTGAAAGAGACAAATTGAGAAATAGGAACCTACACAGTTCCAGACAAACAAGTAGGCCTGGAGAAGACATGAAACTTGAATTAGGATTAGTAAAAGTGCATCCCTTGGAGGTATACAATAAATTTTGTGAGGGTTTGCCTTCCTAGTGGTGGCTTTTACTATTCTATTTTTTTTATTTATGCTCTATCACTATTCTTTGTTCTCTCTCGTGTTTCTTATGTTCATACGTTGGTGAAGGGGACCTCTTCATTTTCACTTTGCTCAGCTTTTCATTAAACCTTTGTAACAGGCTTATTAATATCTAGGAAACACATTATTTTACGTGGTTGGTTGGAAATAAGATTCCCCATACACCATTGTGTCATCATTGGTCAAAATGAACTTTGCTTAACGGTGCTAAGTTCATCTGATAACAACAAATCTTGTTGCTTGGTCTAATCCTATTCTGATTGCTGAATAAATATTTGAAATGGTGAATGGATTCTAAATCTCTAGCTATCTATATTTCTGTGCTGTTTCAATGCTAATAACAGATCTCCTTTCTAATATATTCAGGTTCTCCCTTTTTTTCTGGTGGTGGATTTAGAACTGACTTATGTGCAGCAAAGTTTTGCAGATCTATTTCTCACTGTGTCAAAAAATTCCTATTTACAGATAGCGAAGAACAAGCAGTATGACATGCATGTTGAAGTTACAACATTAAAACAAGAGAATGGCAAGACATTTGGTAATGAAGAGAGAATGTTTGAGGGATACAAAACATCTGAAGGGTTTAGGAGAGAAGACTTTGCAAAGATGAATTCTTTCTTAGGAGAAGAGATTTTGAGAACTGTTGATACTGCTACTCAGTTGGAATGTTTTCCAGAAGAATATGATGATATTAAATTTCAAGGTCTTCGACATGATGTAACTGCCAGACAGTTGATTGAAGTTAAACTTCTAGATAGGCTTACTGTTGAGCATCTCCATTCAGGGCAGAAAACTATTGAGGAGGTTCAGAAAAGTCTTGAAAAATTTTTAACTAAGCCTACAGCTATAGCGGGAGTGTACCTTGAATCCAGCAAAGAAATACTGTCTTTTTCTTTAGCAACAAAGAGAAGAATCATAGGGAAGGCACTGGCATTAGCATTTTTAGAGGCCCAAGCAGCTACTGGTTTCATCATTGATCCTACAACAGGTCAGAAATTCTCTGTTGATGATTCAGTTGTTAGAGGGCTTGTAGATAATGAATTCAAGAGTAGACTGCATGAAGCAGAGAAAGCTGTTTTGGGATATTGCTGCTCTGGTAAAGTGGTATCTGTGTACCAAGCTATGGAAGCTCGATTTCTAGAAAGACAAAAGGGTAAAAATATCCTTGAAGCTCAAATTGCAACTGGGGGGGTTATTGACCCCATTAGAAGTGTTCGTGTACCTCCAGAAACTGCAGTGCAGCTTGGCTTGCTTAATAATACGATTTTGAAATTTTTGCATGAACCTTCTAGTAATGCAAAATGTTTTCATAATCCAAACAACAGGAAAGCTATGTACTACTGTGATTTGCTAAAAATGTGTTTGTTCAGTGTTAGCAGTAATTGTTTACTGCTTCCAATTGGTGAAAGGAGAATAAGCAGCCCATCAGCAGAGAAAAGTCATAGAATTTCTGTAGTAGACATCAAAACAGGAGCTGAAATGACTTCCTATGAGGCTTATAAAAAAAGAAGTGTTGATAAAGCTACGTATCTTGAGCTTTCAAAACAGGAATTTGATTGGAAGGAGTCTACGTGTTTTGATTCAGATGGGAGTTCTTTTATTTTGCTTACAGACCATAAAACTGGTGTGCAGTTTAATGTTGAGGATACCATAAATCAGGGTAGAATTGACAGAGCATTAGTCAATAAATACAAAGAAGGCTTAATCACAGTTAGTGAGTTGGGAGATATTTTACTTAGCAGTTCACAACCAAAGAAAGATCTAAACAGTCCTATTGCAGGATTTTGGCTTTCTGAAACCAATGAAAGAATTCCAGTTTTAAAAGCCTCACGCAGAAATCTGGTAGATAGAGTTACAGCCCTCAGATGTCTTGAAGCTCAGGTTAGCACAGGAGGCATAATTGATCCATTTACTGGGAAAAAGTACAGTGTTTCAGAAGCTTTGCAAAGGGAATTAATTGATGATGGTTGTGCCAAGCAGATTCAGCAATGTGAACTAATCTTTACTGGGATCATTCACCCTGTAAGGAATACAGTTATGTCAGCTGTTGAAGCTATGAGTACGAATGCCCTAGACAAGGAGATGGGTATGCGCTGCCTGGAGTATCAGTACCTGACTGGTGGGTTGATAGATCCGAAATCTCATTCCAGATTGACAATGGAAGATGGGATTAAGTGTGGTGTTATTGATGCTGTCACAGCTACAAAGGTAAAAGATGAAAATTTGTATGTTAAAGTTATAACGTGCCCCAAAACAAAGAAGAAGCTAACCTACAAAGAAGCTTTAGAGAGTGCTGTTTTTGATTGCCACACTGGGCTACGATTGTTAGAAGCAGCTCAGCCCATGAAAACAGGAATTTCTAGTCTGTACTATGCTTCATAATAGAGATGATAGTACTCATTTGGGGCCTGATTTAAAATCGATTCAAGTTAAGGAAAAGATCTACAATGACTTCTGTGGAAGTTATAGATTATGTTGTCTAGTGTAGTTGCTTTAAAACTAATTAAACAGCTAATTAGTATATACTGGTAACCTGGAATTAGATGTTACTTGTTATAAAGTATAAATCTTTAGGTAAAGTAAAGCAAATTTATAATGTCAAAAAGCAGAGCGTGTTCAGGGGTTACCTGAAGGCTTTATCAGACATTACCTTCATGTAGGCATTAAAAACTGGAAGTTATAAATCAGTGAAGCTACTGTATGTGTGAAATGCATACATTTAGGTGAGATGAGTGAGATTCTTCCATTAAAAATTGAAGAGATTGCCCATTTTGTGAGTGAAAACAATGCAGTATTTCATACAACCCAATGACTTCATTTAGTATTACAAATCAGTTTGCAAATGTAATTTATTGTACAGGGGTGGCAAAACAGTATCCAAGAGTTAAATCTGCAATTCACTAAGCACACACAAATATTTTTTCTCATGCTGGTATTTTATTAATTTAAAGGGCCACTCATATCATAAAATTTCATATCCTATTTTTTTTTCCTACACTTCAGGTAATTTAACAGTATTTTGTCATACTCTAATAGACAAATGAATTACAATTGCATGTCCAGTTAAAAAAAATCCATTGAAATAAAATATTTTCATTTTCACTTGTGGCACATGGAAGGGCTTAGGTGTGTTTTCTAAGTACTGCTAAACTTCAAACTACTCACATGTTGTGTTACTATGAAAATATATGTATTTTCCTATGCAGAAAAAGACGATTTTACTTTTATTGTCCTTGTTTCTATAGACACAGAAGCAGTGTATTCTTCTGAGCTGTAATTTAATAATCCATGTCTATAGATTGCTGATACTGATATCCTATGCTGGCTGTAGAAATCCACTCCTGAGGGTAATGCAAAGGCAGCAATTCAGAGATGCTTTATATGCAAATGTTGTTTAGATTTCATCTGCTGAGTAATTGCTGGGAAACTGTGCTTTTTCTTTATATCAATCATTGTATAATGAATGTACATGTGCGTGAATAAGCATCTTAATTAGAAATCTTTTGAGCAATTATTCTGTTAATGTTGATAACAGTGTGGCATTTTTGTTCTTACTTAAAAGTGTTGCAGTAATGCATGTGGTAATAATAAAAAAAAAATCACTTTAAGTGTATGTGGTAATACTACCATTTTGGTAGAACTGTGTTTCTATTGATGTGAATGTTAAATATTCCAACAACTTACATTTACATGTGTTTTACAATTTGCGGTGTTCATCAGAGGTCAATGGAAGAAGAAAAAAAAGAACATGTTGAGAAGGCTGGGGATTTACTGAAATGGGTGTCAAACCTCAGCAAGACACTCAGCAAAGAAGGAGGAGAAAAGGCTGAAAAGACAGATTTGCCTAAGCAGCAGGTACACAGATGTCTTTTAGTAAAATAACACTTCCCATTTTTAGGTTTTTGTGTTTATTAAAATGACAAAATATTCCATAAATATTCTTTTATTCTCCATATCGCCATCCACGTTTTAGTAAAATATAATTTTGTGTTTGGCTGTGAGTGGAGGATTGGATAAACACTCAGGGATACAAATGTTGCTCAGGAACAAGTAGAAGCTGCCTTTCACATCACAAGTGTACAGTGCAAAATGTCAGTTTAGAGAAGCTGTACTCTGCACACCACAATTGGACTGTTGTAAAGGGACAGTACAACGTAATAGGACAGCATTTGGTAGTTCTGCCTGCTCCTGCAGTAGTTCAGTGAATAAGCCTGGTGACTTCTACCCTGGCACCAAGATGGAGAAAGTTCACAGGGGAAGCCTTTGGGCCAAGTTTCTTCTTATTTTCTATTAAAAAGTTATTTCAGGTGTTCTTCTTGCAGGATGGCTTATGAGACAGTAGTTGAAAGTTTTTGAACAGATGTACACTCCTCTTCAAATCTGCTTCCTTAGGGCATACAGAGGGCCCTTTTTAATACCATGCTATTCCACAGGCTGCTGGAGGGGCCCATCTTGCACCCATTGTATTTGGCAGATCTATTATTGTTGTGTGTATAGTTGTTAGTCTGACTGTGAATTTCCATCTCTGAAGTTTCATATAATTTCTAGTAGTTCCCTTGCTAGCTCTGTCATGCAAGATAGCTTAGCGACACCTGAAAGGATTTCCAGAAATAAAGGCCTACCTGCCCACTGAGCAGCAGAAAAACAAAGTGGTGTCTTTTCCACATCCTTCAGAAATAGTTTGGCTGGTCAGTTATCCAAACTCGATTTTGGCACATCTTTCAAGCAATTTGATCCTGTGTTTTTATTTTGGACATTGGCATTGGTGTCAAAGCTGCAGAATTTGAACTTGCTGTCGGACAGCCCTGCGTTCCCCAGCTGCCACCTGTGCTCACACACTGCTTCTTTGTAGAGGATGTGCTCCTCTACAAGATAAAAGAGCAGATGTGTTTGAGGGACCAGTGCTAGTTCTGTAATTGACAGACAACATTCAGTATTGGCTTTTTTTGCTTCTCTTGTTGATGACAATGGTGAAAGCCTTTGTCAGTGTTGGGCCAGCGCCCTACTCCTTGGAGCATCTAAGTCTACCACGACAGCTACACCAGCATCTTCCCAGTACAGCTTGAGCCCTTAAGAAGTAACATGCAGGTTAGTTGTCTTGGCTTCCCCTTGCCACTTGGAGGCAGCTATTTCCTGAGGGTGTTTCTATTACAGCCTGAGATAGTGGGCACCATCCCAAAGATGCCTAGTTTTGTATTCACTGTCTGGCATGGATGCCTAGACGCGTTTGGTACAAACCTGATAGCTAATTTTTATAGGCTTTTAGTTGTTGTTTTGTTTTGTTTTGATAGCTGATGTTCGCTGAAACACATTTCACACATACACTGGGGGTGTAGCCACTGGGAGAGGGGGTGGAGAAGCTCCTGCCAGTAGTAACATAGCATATACAGCAGTCACAGTGATGCCAGTACCCTGAGGAAAGGGAAGCTCGTGTCTTCTCATGTTCAGCATACTGTGCTTGCTGTCTGTGTTTTTGTCCAAGCAGCACAAACAGTGGGACTGTGGCTTGCTGACAGTGAAGACATACTGTGTTCAAAACACAAAATTGATTGCGTCCCAGCCCACATGAACCTATGCTCTTCCTAGGCACCTTCCCAGAGTTCTCTTAGGACCTGCATTGAACTTATCCCTGCCTTGTTAACAAAGCCCTTGCCACCCCCTCCCCCCCCCTCTCCTTTTGTTTAACCAAAGTCAAAAGTTGTGCTTTTATCTGAAGAACAGCAGGCAGTTTCTCAGAAAAATTAAAAGATTAAATTCTGGCAAGTTCCTCTGCCAGAACTAGAGCTTGAGTAAGAATGACAAATGATAGAGGGAGAATTTTAATAAATAATTCATTTTTTTTCTGAGTATCTAAATTTGCATTTATATGTCATAGAATTTCATGAAGTTTGTGGCCTTCTGGTATGTTTTATAAAAAGTTACTCTCTCTTATTGTGGTGTGCAACTTCTTGAGCATGGCCATTATATATATATCTTTGTGAATTTACTTTAAATTTTGCCAGATACTCAGTGGTTTTAAATGATTAAGTTTTAAACAAGTAACATTTGAAATAAATTCAGTTTGTCTCACCAAACTAACTTCTAATTCAGTTTATTTTACCGAAAGACCTAATGCAATGATTTCTCCAATAATAAATGATAGAATTTAACGATAAATAATATAGGTCTAAGAACAGCTTCTTTCTCTTTTCTTTAATTTCAAGTTCCTACACTATTGAGTTCTGTCACACTTAGAAATATTGTGCTGTTGGTTTCCTTTTCTTTTTATGTTTGTGCATAGTTAAATCTTGAACACAGGTTGTTTATTTTTCAGATTTCCCTTGAAGAAATGTCAGCTAAGAAAGAACAAATAGCTGAAGCTCTGCAGACTACTCAGGCATTTTTAGCTAAACACAGTGACAAGTAAGCCATGCTTTTATTTTTCAAATAAATTAATGGAATCAGTACATATTGTTTGCTTATAAAGAAGACATATTCATGTGCTATAGTTCCAATTATACTTCATGTACATTTATGTCAGATTTTGTTGTTATTGTTTTGTTTTTTAATAAAACTTTGTCATCCATTCTGGCTAAAGGTTGATTAAGTTTTGTTTATCTCAGGAGCTTGATTAGGTTTATGTACCTCTGGTCAACTTAAAGGGTGCTAGATCATCATTGACATTTGAAATAAAAATAATTAACAAATTAGAAGTAAATCAATATTTCAACTTTATATCTCAAATTTGTTTCATTTTCATCTGAAGTTATTTAGAAGGGTCTGTGACAGAACAAGGGGAAATGGTTTCAAACTAAAAGAGGGGAAATTTTGAAAAATGAAAGAAGTTTTTTACAATAAGAGTGATGAGGCATTGGAACGGGTTGCTCAGAGATGTGGTGTTTCCCCATCCCTGGAGGCATTTAAGATTGGGCTGGGCCAGGCTCTCAGCAACTTGATCTAGCTGCAGGTGTCCCTGTTCATTGCAAAGAAGTTGTACCAGCTGACCTTTAAAGGTCCCTTCTAACTTATATGATTCCGTGAGTCTTTGATTTTAATGCACTAGCAAATTGCTGAGGTACTTCATGACTACTTGCTAGATGTGTTACCCATCTTCACTGATGATAAGTCAACAAAGGAACATGCAAATGATAAAAGCTTTTGCTATAATTCAAAGTAAATTGTAGATTAATTTAACCTTTTTTTTATTTGACTAGCTATAAATAGATTGTTGCTAATAATCAAGTATTTTTTTCAGACTACTTTTATCAATTTCTTTTTCTTTTTTTAAGTAAAGGTAGGCAGACTACAAATTATTCAAGAGACCTCCTCCTTATTTTTTGTTTCTTTGTTTGTTTCTTTTTTAATAGAATGACAGATGAAGAGAGAGGTGAAATGGAAAAACAAGTCAAATCCCTCCAGGAGGGCTACAGTTTGTTAGCCAGTGAAGCTTTGAAGCAGCTGCAGGAGGCACACTATTTGGATGATGAAAAAATGGATGAAAAGGTAGCAAGATGGAAACTCAGATATCAGGGTCTCTTGAGTTTTACTGCATGGTTTTGAAACCATATGTGATGGGTAAAAAATGAAGCTGCAATTAACAGTGTGTAAAGGATTTTAAGGTTTAACTGACAAAGTTTTGTGTATTTGTTATGAAATACTGTGTGTTACCTTACCTGTACATATGAATACTCTACTCATCAGGTTTTTTTGTGAAGAGTCTCGATAATGTGTGCCTTGCATGAGGAAAGATAAACATTCATTTCTTAACTTTTCTCTTAAAAGCCATTCTTTGACTGCTGTATAAGTCTGTGTCTGCTGCAGAAAGGACACCATAAATTAACATGTTAATGTCTCCCATACATCCTTCAAGTGTCCTCAGAAGAAATCTACTTTCAGTTTTTCTTAAAATGTATCTGGATATAAAAATGGGAGTGCATAATAATGTTAGTGACCCTGAGACACTATATCCACTTGCTAATGGATCTCAATCTTAAATATGGATTTCTGAAAAAATGTTGCATATGAATTTTCTCGTTTGGAGGCAGTGTCTGTTTAATTATTTTAAATAATGTTGCCAGACTGACTTCATGCTTTCCATGCAAACTAAAAGCATTATTTGGTGCTAGAATATCTTGATTCCATAATGTTGGATGTATATACAGGAGTGCTGTATGCTGTAAACATGAATAGCATGGTTGTTTTGAATCACATACTGTTTCTGAAGTTCTAACATTTCACAGACATTTAGAGCATGAAAATTTGCCTTTCAGGTAATATGTTCTATTTGCTCACTCTGCAATCATCTCTTCTATTGTCTTTCACTAACCCTATTTATGTATGCAAAGCATAGGTTTTCAATTCACAGATGCATGTTGATTTTAAATCTTTTATCACATCGTGTGCTGTTCAATGACTGACATAGATCACTTGTGCGTTTGAGCTGCTAACATTCACAGCATTCTTCCAGTCCTGGTAAGTACAAGTCTTATGCTTATCATGCATTCAGAAGCAAAAGTAAATTTAAAATTAGTCTAAAACAGTGATACCTGTTCTTTTATATTTCTTTTTAGGTGCATAAAGTCATTGCTGGTATCATTGACCAAACGACTGGAGAAGTCCATTCCATTTTTCAGTCTATTCTAAAAGGTTTTATTGACTATGACACTGGAGTTAGGTTGCTCGAGAATCAGCTGATCCTTACTGGGATAATTTCTCCAGAATTAGGAATATCTTA